TATATATATATATAGTGTATTTTTTGTTCAAGATAATGGATTTGGATAAGTATTTCGTATTTATGTAAATGTGTTATTTATCGAAATAATTATGGATTGTTATTGTAATTTGAATTGATGGGTGTAAGTTTAATTGCTGAACTCTGTAGGGCATACTTGGTTTGCAATTTCTTTCTGTCGATAGGTTTTGTAAGTAGTGTAATTAGACATTGTAAATGCTAAACCATAATTATAATGTTAAATGATGTGAATATATTGGGCTCAAATAAAAGCAAAATAATATATCACATAAATATTACACAGTTGTTTTGTCGTTCTGATAGCGTAATAATAATATATTGATAATGAAGATGATGATTATGTAGATATGATTATAATGATGATGATGGTGGTATGATGATGATAATGATGATGGGATGATAATTACTACTACTACTACTACTGCTGCTGCTACTGCTACTGTTACTACTACTACTACTACTACTACTACTACTACTACTACTACTACTACTACTACTACTACTACTACTACTACTACTACTACTACTACTACTACTACTACTACTACTACTACTACTACTACTACTACTACTACTACTACTACTACTACTACTACTACTACTACTACTACTACTACTACTACTACTACTACTACTACTACTACTACTACTACTACTACTGCCCCCCCCCCCGCCACTTTGAAAAACGTTCCGCCGGCCCTGCCATCCGTGTGGGCCTCAAAGAAAAATCAACCCATGTTGTTAAGAACGTTTTAAATGAGAACATCGGGACAATGTGATCACAAGCTGAAGTAGAATAAATTGTTGAATTAATGTGAACACATACAGAAAATTAAGTACAAATCTGAAGTCATCATCATCACCTATTCATCATCATCTTTACCATCATCTTCAACCATAATCATCCGCAAAAATTTGAATACAGGGGTGGGTGGAAAAAAGTTGTTTTTTTTGTTTTTTCTCGTAAGAAAAAAAAAACACGCACCCCTAATTTTTGGGATCTTAGGAGCGGCGGATGACGGCAAACAAACAAGTTTTTTTTTAGGTCTCTTCATTATTATCAACATTACCATGAATATCACCCTAACCATCCTCATTCCCATCATCATTAAGCCGAAAACGATAAGTGAGAAATAGCAAAATAACAAAGCTAATGGTTTTTGTCGAAATTTGACGATTTTTCGAACTTACTGTTTCTCCTGTTCATTTTTATGTTATGTTTCACCTAAGGATAATACTAACGTGTTCTGTGGCACTTACGGACCTTGTGAATGGAGACTAAATGACCAAAAACAACTAGGTTAAAATGGAAGCATCACCACAAAACATCTTGGTAAAAATAACTCCGTTTTGATTAAAAAAAAGAAGAAGAAAATAAATAAAAAAGTAACTCCGTTTTAGTTTTTAGTTTCAGCATGTTCAACATCCAGGGAACGAGTGTTTACGTTCTGGAGACCACTACGAGTGAATACCATGTTTGTAAGTGTGTTTCTGTTCTTTAGTATTCAAGTTTTCACTCCTCGTACGCTGGTCACTTAAATGCACGATAGAGTTACTTGCTCGGCCCCAGCCAACTGAACGGAGGGAGGAAGCAGTGCGACCCCTAAGCCATGATGATGCACTGAACCTAGCATAGCCATCCCGAGTGCCTGTCAGTTAACCGAGACTCCCTGTGCATCTCCCCTGCAGTCTGTTAATCGCCTAGTCCTGTCAAGTATCACCGCCAAGCGTCATCATAACACAGATCCTATATATATATATGGTCTGATCATACGATGCGCAAGACTAAGTACTCAACCTCGCCAAGGCTCGGGCCTTCGCCAAGACCCGAGCCCAGACTCAGCGTAGGGTTACCGGCGTATAACCGACAAGAAGCCTCGTCGACCCCGGAACCCGTCAGGGAGAGAGTCAGGTGATTATATTTTGCCTGTGATTAGAATATATTTGATTCAATTGTACGTATAATATTGGTGTTATTACCTGCAAAAGCAATTAACGTGGATTTTTGCCTTATTTTTAAAAACAATTTTTAGTGATTTAAATGAACATTTAGTATTAAAGTACTTTATATTTCATATAAAAATAAAGGCTACTAAAATCATGTTAAAGTATATTGTAAAATATGCAAATGATGAATATAAAACAATTGGAAATGTCTAAAGGCGTATCTATCTGAACTTCAAACCAAAATGAAAAGCGAGACTTTGAATAATAAGAAATAGAAATCACTTTTTTTTAAAGCAGCTGTAGGTGCCACCAGAAGGCAAAACGTTTAGGTTTATTTTTTGCAGAATCGACAGATTACTGTAGGCCTGTGTTTTGTTTAAAGTTACCAACCTTAAAGATTTTGAAATGCGTGAATACACCAGTTTTTTGTGAGGGGGAGGGGGCAAGGTCAGTGGTCCAGAGGCAGAACCCTGAGAATCTGAGCATTTTAAGCTATTTTTAATCGATTTCAAGGAGGTTTATTGACAATACCGGGTGCAAAAATATTTTTAATGAAGCCATATACAATTTGAGTTTTAATGTAGGGCCTACAT